CATGAATAATTTATTATAAACATTACCCTATCAGTCAATAAAAATGAAGAAAAGATTCTTAATGAATAAAGAAATTTCTTCATTAAGAAATCATTAAAATCACAACTCAGAAAAAGGATGATTTTTTTTAAGGATTATGAAATAAAAATAACATTTTGGTCATGTTAAGAATATATTATAGCCGATTTTTTTATTGGTCAATTTTCAAAATGGCTCGAAGGACAGTCAAAACGTTTATGGAACAAATGATAGTTGTGTTATAGAAATATTATAAGAAAAGAAACTACGCATTGATTATCGCGCTAAAAACTCTCATTAGCCCTTGATTATCTTTATTATTGATAATTTCGAAAATTGATTTACCATTAAATTTTCTGTCAAGTAGAAAAATATTTTTTTTTCCTTTTCTAGGAAACTTAATTTTTGTTGAATTTTATTATTTTTAAAGTAAGGGAGCGACATCGTCTACCAAATTGCAAGAAAAAATCTGTATTTGTTAAAATATAAAATGATAGTTCATGTATTTTGTTACGATCTAAATTCTTTAGCTTTTCTGCGATTGTTGCGTTGAGAAAACGACTTCCTTTGCAAGATTATCGAAGGGTTGCTTTTCGATAATCCGATGGATCCGATTGATTCGTAGACCCATCGATGGCGAACATGCCGCCTTTTGATCTTCTTATCCAAACACAGATCATTAGCTCTCCATACTGAGACAAAGTTTTGGATAGGTGGGAAGGAAAGGAGTATAATGCAAGTATTAAGCTGGCATAGAGGCCGCTACAGGAAAAGGGATAAGAGAACCATTTGCGAGGATATAGGTAGGTAAGTCGGGGCTTAGCCTGGTGACACAGTAAGCGGAACCGTGGTATGAAGCTTACCGGGGACTCTCCCGTAGTTGTTATAATGGGATCCGGCTAAATGCAAGCCGATTTTAACTCTTCGCTGCTACACTCGGCCAAGTTCAAGGCCATTGTCTTCGCTGCAAGAATGGAACGTCGTCGGTCAGCAGCCTTTGCGAAGCGCAGCATAATTCATAGCGAGAATCGACGACACCCCCGTTGCGAAGTGTTACATCTTTTCTTTTCTTCTAGAGTCTCTTTGTTTCTGATCACCGCATCCTTCTTTACGAATACGATCTCGACCTGAGAATTGAGATTCAGCGAAAAATCTTTTAACATGTCTTCAACACGCAGTTTTGTCGACTTGTTTTATATTTTCTTTCCTTTATGCTTTAGTATATTTTTGAAACTATTAAACAAGCATTATTAGAACAGCTAATTTATGTCCATTTTCACGTAAATTAATTTTAATCTCGATTCAACTTACTTTTCATTAATTTCTAGGTCTAAAAATTAGAAAAGGAGGAAGAGTAAATTGAATCGAGATAAAAATTAATCTAAATTAGTGGAAACCAGCATTAATCCTCCGAAGCTGATGTCAAAATCTATAACATAGTTACTGACGCTGGTTCTGTGAGATTTGTTTAATTTATATTGATTAAAAAGCATTAATTAATTTGAAGGAACCAAAATAACCTAACTAGTATAAAAAAGAATGAATATTAAGTATATTTTAATAATAATAATAATTCAAATTTGCAGATGTAATATAAAGAATATAATTGAATGGGTCTATAGATCCACCGTCAGTTCCGAAGGATTATTATTAATTTCTCTTGCCTCTGAGAATTAATAAAAGTTTTTATATGATTACTTCTGTGAAATTATTTTTCACTGTTATGATGTAAGATACGATTTAACTATTGCGTCAAGATATGCTCTGGAGTGTTTTTCACGAGATAGATATTCTCTTTAAAGAGAAAGTCGCGGAGGATTTGTGCCTCGATTATGTGAAAGGGTCATCAAAGCGCGCATGGGCAACGAGCGATTCGTTATAGCTCGTTAATTTGATGAGTTAGAAAGGATGCCGGATTACGTCGTCAAAAGGTAGACAGGTACGCGATCTGTCCAATTAGTTGACATACAAGGGCGGCTCTCGCTCTCCTTCATGCTTGCATGGGGTCCTTTGTGTTGTGATATTTAGACCATTAGAAATACGCTACTGATAGGCACACCCTTTCATCTTTGTTTGAACC